TCAAGTGCTGTCCCTGGACAGTGACTGCACTTTACAGCCCTGCCACCATCCCGGGCCAGGAAGTCATGTTTACAGTGTAAAGTCCCCGAGTCCCGGCAGTGTTCCCCGGCAGCAGCAGGTGAAACGGATAAACCTATTACATACACAGTGAGGAGGAGGACACGAACACAGGCATAATGAGGCTGCTTGCAGTGTGTCCAGTGCATTTGCCGCAGTGGATGTATACTGAGGGCTGGAGTAGGGGGTGGGAGCACAACATAGGAATGCTGGCGTAGATCCCCGGAGGCCTTCGCACAGAGGCAGAGAGGGTAACTTGTGGCCCACCAAGTTTCTTTCTCCGCGAGTCCATGCAGCCCCTATGAGAATGTTTGAAATGAGAGTGAAGAGGTGGGGTCCCTCTCTTTGGAAAGTTTAGCCTCAAAGCAGTTGGCCACACTGCATGGAGAGACACCCTCTCTCTGTCCCTTCATGTCTCACTGTCTCTGAAGCTTCAGCCCATGTGTGTCTGGTCTTACAGCCACAACAGGCCAGTGCCAGGAGCTGAGCAAGCACCACATGAGCAAAAAAAAAAGTGTGTTTGGTGAAGTCAGACTCACTTGAGCTCCTGCCCACATCTGTCTGGTTTGGGAGCTCCGGTGGGGAGCTGACAACTCTGAAGCACACCACTGTCCCCTCATCCACCTTGAAGATGCCATGGGGCACCCACTTCCCTTCCTGGGTGGGGATTCCATGGTAAGAGACCTGTGTCCCTGCACACTGCATTGGACTCCCACCCAATTACTCTGTTTTGAAGCTCTGTCCCAGAGGTGTTTGTCTGTGACCCACAGATGGTGTCAATGTGAACACCTCTCTTTGTGCTGAATTTCCCAGGCCATTTCTTTCCTGTCTTTGTTTCCTGAAATTTCCTTCTTCCAAGATGAAAACAAGAAAAACTTAGAAGGTATTTAAAAACAAAGAGATTCCTACCATGCCCAGGGTTCAACTGCAAAACAAAAATCTTACTCTAGCCCTCAATGCCATCTATTTTACTCATGTAAAAAGAATTTTCCCGGAGAGGCTAGCGAAAAACTTGAGAGAGTCCCCTCTAACATCTGAGGTGACCAAGAGGCAGAGGAGTAAAGGCAGTGAGGAGGCCGTGTTGCCCAGCTGATCCCAACTGTAGCTATACTCTGAGACCCGTGGGAGGAGGCAGACCCCTGGGCTTTCCTGCTGGCCACAGAGACTCTGCTCCTGCATGGAAGGAGCTGGAGACCAGCGAGTCACGCCTGGGAGCCTGTCTGGAGCCCATGTGACCGTGGCCTCCCACCGGATGTTACCACAACACACCTGCCAATCACTTCTGTTTGCACTCTGCAAATGTAAGAAAGAACCACTTGACCAGTGTCCCCAGATGCTTTTTTTTTTTTTTTTTTTTGAGACGGAGTTGCTCTTTCGCCTGGCTGGAGTGCAGTGGCGCCAGTCTCCATCCTGCAGCACCTCACCTCCAGATTCTGCCTCAGCCTCCCAGGTAGCTGGGTTTCTGCCTCCAGCCTCCCAGTGAGATTGGGATTACAAGCTTAACCATGGCTGAATTTTTGTACTTTCAGTAGAGGCTGAGGTTCACCATGTTAGCCGGCTGGTCTAGGAACTCCTGACCTCAGGTGATCCACCCAACTTGACCTCCCAAAGTGCTGGGATTACAGGCGTGAGCCACCACCTGCTTTAAATGCTCTTGAACCAGAAACCCAGGGCTGGGAGTGCTCACCCAGGCTGCTGCTTTTCTGTGTGCTGGTGCTGTGTGTGTTTGTATACCAGCTGTCTTCTTGCAACTATAAGAAATTCTGGCCTTAGGTGGGGGTATGGTCAGGTGAGAACCGGCGTTGGAACTGTAGACCACGTCCTGTCTGACTGTGTGCCCTATGGGCATGTGTAGCCTCGTTTCCTCATCTGTAAGAGGGGGTTGGTACCCACACCTCACAGGGAGTGTTGTGAGAGGTTAAATGTGAGGAGGATAGTGACAGATGAGTGATGGAACTGGAGCGTCCTTTGCTGCCTCAACCCCACTTGTCCAGGGGCTCTTTTTCAAAGTCCCAGCTCTTCATGGAGTCAGTTCTCACCTTTCTCCAACTTGCACCTGAAGGGAGAAACCACTCCGGGGGAGCCTGGCATCACCTGCTGGGGTGGGTGGTCTCCTGCATCTCGAGTGCTGCCTCCTCATACAGAGGAGCCTCCCAGGGAGGCAGGGGCCACCCCTCACCCTCCCACCGCTGATGGAGGGGCCCACCCCTGAGCACTGGGCTGGAGGCTGCCTGGAGTCCCAACCTCCTGACAACTCCCCTTTGTGCCCTCCCCCTTCCCTTCTGTGATGACACCTTCCACGAGCGACTATGGAATGGACTCACCTGTCCCATCTTTAAACAGCACCGCGTCTGCTGTCTTTCCCTCAACCGCCTGGGGAGTTCTTGGCCTAATTGTTTATCTTGTTACATCAACTACATGGGGCCACCAACTGCCCTCCTCACTTCCTCCCAGGGTGTCCCTGCATCACTGAAGGCCCTGTCCGCCAGACCCCCCACCCCCACCCCCGGTGCTGTACACCGCCAGGGCCTCAGCAGCGCCTGGCTGCTTGACCCACTCCCTCCGCGACAGCTTCCTGTTTGCTTCTGCTTGACTTACCTGTCTTACTGCTCCTCCACCTCCATGGCCATTGCCTGGGCCCCGTCACCTGTCCCTACCCGTCCCCTGCCCCACCAAGGGCCACCTCGCCGGGCCCACAGCTCCAAGGTCTGAGCTTCCTCCCCTCTGCCCGGTGCTATCGTCACATGTCCAAAAGTGAACAGTTCTCCTCCCTCATCCCGCTTCCTGATCGGCGGCATCATCACCTCGCGCCCCGTGCTTTCCCTGTGCTCCGGTGGCGGGCGTCAGCAGGACGGCTGGTCCCTGCGTTAGAGCACTTTCAATAAGGACAGATGGAGCCTCTCGCCATAGCACTTCACAGGCGCCCTACAAGAGAAGCGCGATAATGGCGCCCCCATCTACCCAGTTACCCAAACCAAAATCCCGGCGTCGCCCGCAGTCCCCTCCCTGGCGGCCTCGGAAACCTAGGGGGCAGGAGTGGGTGGGGCTTGAAACCGCCCGCGCAATGGGGAAGCTCGGGGGCGGCGGGGCCCCGGCAGGATTGGGCGATCCGGCCGGGAAGGGGCGGTCTTCCCGCCCGGAAGGGGCGTGGCTCTTCACAGGCGGCAAATTGCAAGGAGACGCTGCGCCTTTAAATGCTGCCCGCGGACTATTCGCGCCGGTGAGGCCTGCGCGGCGGAGGGCGGAAGGACGCGGGCAGGCTGGCAGTCAGGCGCGGGGCGAGGCCTACGACGCGCTAGCCGAGGTGATGAGCCGCCGGTGCGTCCCCAGGCTGGTGGCCGAGCTGCAGGCTCCTGGACGCTTTTGCGCAGCGACAGCTGCAACTGGAGCAGAGCCTGCGCGCGTCAATAGTAGGCTGCTGCGGGCTGGTACGCGGACCGGGACCCCCTGGCCAGACCTCCCTCAGCCTCTCAGAGTCCTGCCCCGAGGTCTCGTGGCTGGGAGACCGGGCGCAGCCGCCCACTTCGGAGCTATAGGTTGTCAGTGCCACCCCTTACCTGCAGCTCTGAGCTGGGGGCTGCCGCGAGGCCGCGGCCCCCTTGTGTCTGTTGGGCTGGGCCTGCCTCCTGGCCGTGCGACAGCTGCCCATGTCTTTGGCAGGAGACAGCCGGGACCTGGGCTTTGGGAGCCACCTCCAGAGGCAAGGAAACTATTAAGAAGAGGACCCCCTTCCAGGTAAGCCTCCACCACCCAATCCAGGTGCTGTTCTAGTCTGTCTTCTGGAGCGCAGTTGGCGGGGACCCTCCTGGGGGGGACAGTGGGGAGAGATCCCTGCGTAATTCTTGGCTTTCACAGCATGCACACCCAGTCCACAAGGGCCTCAAAGAGTTGGAGTTTCTGACCCAGAAACAGGAGAAGGCTGTTCGGGTTCGAAGAGGCATCACTAAGGCTGGAGAAAGAAACAAGGCCCCAGCCTGAAATCTGGGTCCATTGTCACCTCTCCTGTACGACCTCACACCCCAGTCTCCCGGCCAAGTTGGTGGCCATCGCTGAACCACGCGAGACCTGAGGCCTCCGCCAGACCCACAGTGCCTGCCAAGGAGGCCGCCCTGGCGCCGGCTGCCGTCATTGCGGGATAGGACCCGTGCTGGGATAGGAGCCCGAGCCCCCAAGCCTGGAGCGGGCCTCAGGAACCAGCATATGGCCCCATTGGCTGTCCTCAGGCCCCAGAAGCCTTCACCTCAAGGAGAAGGGGTAGGTTTCCCGAACCCTCACTGGAGGGACTTCTGTCTCTGCCTCCTCAGACTGTGTAAGGGAGCCTGGGATTGCAGGGTGACAGGAGGGCAGGGCATTGAGCCTGGGGTGCACCCCTGAGGCTCGTGCTCAGAAGCTGCAGAATGAAGCAGCTGTGTGGTGGTGTCAGGTCGGCACCATCCAGGACGGGAAGTGCCAGAGCCTGTCCTGCCCTCTCCTCTGTGGCTGTCCCCTTATTTGCCCAGGCCAGAGGCTGTAGATGGGCTCTGGAGGGTGTGGGCTCTGCTCACGGGGCCCCCTCTTCTCTCTACTGGGACAGCACTGGACCATGCTTCTCCCGTGGCCGCTCTGGAAGCCCTATTCAAGGGGGCTCATCCTTGAGTAGGGTCAGGTGTGGGGAGAAAGGGGCAAGCCTCATCTGATTGGGCTCTGAGCAGGAAATGGGAGTTTGTAGACCCCACAGAGCAAGGCCATGCTCCTCTGAACACCGGCTTCTCCGACCCAGGCACTGCTGCGGCTGCCTGCAGCATTCCGGAAAGCGGCTTCCCAGGGCTTTCCAAGGTGAGGTTGAGGTCTTTGGCTGGACAGGGGTAGGGGAGAACCTGGAGGCATCACCAGCTCGGGTACAGGTTCGAGATACTTTCCAGTGGGTCTCTTTGCTGAGTGGGGTCACTGTCGAGCGTTAAAGGATTTCTAGAATGTCGTTTGAGATGTGCCCATGTGGCTTACATGACAGTCCTCACTGCCCTGCTGGGATCACTGCCCTGTGCAAACCCCAGGCAGACTGCATGGGTCCTTACCAGAAGCCCAGTTAGTGTGAGTCCTGTCGATTTCCCAGTTGCTTGCTTCTGCATCCACTTGGCTTGAGCTAGATGCCCAACTTGTCGTTGGAGTCATGGCAGGCAGCTGTCCAACCTTGGAAGAGGCATGTCACCCACACTTCTCACCACAGGAGGGTAACACAGAGGACCATAGCTAGGTAGAAGATTCTTGACCTGCACTTCAGGGTCCTGACGTGGCAGGGGGTCTCCCCTGATGCTTGGGTGTGACATGATCTCCCTCCCCACCAACCTTCCTGCAGTGACAGCTCCCAGTGGCATCCTCGATGTCACCGTGGTCTACCTGAACCCAGAACAGCATTGCTGCCAGGAATCCAGTGATGAGGAGGCTTGCCCAGAGGACGAGAGACCCCAGGACCCACAGGTACCAGCGCTGGATACCCAGATCCCTGCAACCCTAGGACCCAAGTCCCTGCTCCGCACCAGCCCGGAGCCAGGGAAGGACGTCACGACCTCAGGCTACTCCTCCGTCAGCACCACGAGTCCCACAAGCTCTGTGGATGGTGGCTTGGGGGTCCTGCCCCGACCTACCTCAGTGCTGTCCCTGGACAGTGACTCGCACACACAGCCCTGCCACCATCAGGCCAGGAAGTCATGTTTACAGTGTCGTCCCCCAAGTCCCCCCGAAAGCAGTGTTCCCCGGCAACAGGTGAAACGGATAAACCTATGCATACACAGTGAGGAGGAGGACACGAACCTGGGCCTTGTGAGGCTGTAAGTGTGTCAGTGCATTTGCCGCAGTGGATGTATACTGAGGGGGCTGGAGGCGAGGGGTGGGAGCACAGCATAGGAATGCTGTGTAGATCCCGGAGGCCTTCGCACAGAGAGCAGAGAGGGTAACTTGTGGCCACCAAGTTTCTTTCTCCGCGGGAGTCCCGTGCAAGCTATGAGAATGTTGAAATGAGAGTGAAGAGGTCAGATCCCTCTCTTTGGAAAGTTTAGCCTCAAAGCAGTTGGCCACACTGCATGGAGGGCACCTCTCTGTCCCTTCCATGTCTCACTGTCTCTAGAAGCTTCAGCCCATGTGTGTCCTGGTCTTCCCAGCCCCAACAGAGCCCAGTGCCAGGAGCTGACAGCTTTCACGCTCGAGGCACGTGTGACCTGGGTAGTCAGACACCACTTGAGCTCCTGCCCACATCTGTCTGGTTTGGGGCTCCAGTGGGGAGCTGACAGCTCTGAGCACACCACTGTCCCCTCATCCACCTTGGTCTGCATGGGGCACCCACTTCCTTCTGGGTGGGGATTCCATGGTAAGGGGGCCTGTGTCCCTGCACACTGCGTGGACTCCCTACAACACGTTACTCATTTTAGAGCTCTGTCCCAGAGGTGTTTGTCTGTGACCCACAGATGGTGTCAATGTGAACACCTCTCTTTGTGCTGAATTTCTGGGCCATTTCTTTTCCTGTCTTTGTTTCTAAATTTCCTTCTTCCAAGATGAAAACAAGAAAAACTTAGAAGGTATTTAAAAAACAAGAGATTCCTACCATTATTTAGGTTCAACTGCAAAACAAAAATCTTACTCTAGCCCCTCAATGCCATCCTGACACACTCTATGTAAAAAGAATTTTCCCGGAGAGGCTAGCCAGAAAAAACTTGAAGTCCCCTCTAACATCTGAGGTGACCAAGAGGCAGAGGAGTAGAGCAGTCGGGGGCCGTGTTGTAGCTGATCCCAACTGTAGCTATGCTCTGGGGACCCGTGGGAGGGAGGCAGACCCCTGGGCTTTCCTGCTGGCCACAGAGACTCTGCTCCTGCATGGAAAGGGAGCCTGGGAGACAGCAGTCCACGCCTGGGGAGCCTGTCTGGGGCCATGTGACCGTGGCCTCTCCCTGGGGATGGGCTTACCACAACACACCCTGCTGCAATCCACTTCTGTTTCCTCTGCAAATGTAAGAAAGAACCACTTGACCAGAAGTGTCCCCCAGATGCTTTTTTTTTTTTTTTTTTTTTGAGACGGAGTTTTGCTCTTTTCGCCCTGGCTGGAGTGCAGTGGCATGATCTCAACTCACTGCAACCTCTGCCTCCCAGATTCTGCCTCAGCCTCCCAGGTAGCTGGGATTCTGCCTCAGCCTCCCAGGTAGTTGGGATTACAAGCACCCAACCACGCCTGGCTAATTTTTGTACTTTCAGTAGAGACGGGATTTCACCATGTTGGCCAGGCTGGTCTCGAACTCCTGACCTCAGGTGATCCACCCACTTCGGCCTCCCAAAGTGCTGGGATTACAGGCGTGAGCCACTGCACCTGGCCCCCCAAATGCTCTTGAACCAGAAACCCAGGGCTGGGAGATGCTCACTGAGCTGCTGCTTTTCTGTGTGCTGGTGCTGTGTGTGTTTGTGTCTGTGGCAGCTGTCTTCTTGCAACTATAAGGGAATTCTGGCCACCTTGGGTGGGGTGTGGTCCAGGTGAGAACCGAAGCGTTGGAACTGTAGACCCGTCCTGTCGACTGTGTGCCCCTGGGCATGTGTGAGCCTCAGTTTCCTCATCTGTAAGAGGGGGGATGATACCTACCTCACAGGGGTGTTGTGAGGATTAAATGTGAGGAGGATAGTGACAGATGAGTGATGGACGTCCTTTGCTGCCTCAACCCCTTGTCCAGGGGCTCTTTTTTCAAAATCCCAACTCTTCATGGAGTCAGTTCTCTGCTTTCTCCCAGCTTGCACCTGAAGGAGGAAACCACTCCGGGGGAGCCTGGCATCACCTGCTGGGGTGGGTGGTCTCCTGCATCTCGAGTGCTGCCTCCTCCTTCACAGAGAACCTCCAGGGAGGCAGGGCCACCCTCACCCTCCCCCACCGCTGATGGAGGGGCCCACCCTGAGCACTGGGCCAGAGCTGCCTGGGTCCCAACCTCCCTGACAACTCCCTTTGTGCCCTCCTTCCCTTCTGTGATGACACCTTCCCATTAACGACTATGGAATGGACTCACCTGTCCCATCTTTAAACAGCACCCCCGCGTCTGTCTTTCCTCCAGCTACCGCCTGGGAGTTCTTGGCCCTAATTGTTTATCCTTGTTAACATCAACTACATGGGGCCCTGCTGCCCTCCTCACTTCCTCCCCCAGGTGTCCCCTGCATCACTGAAGGCCCTGTCCGCCGACCCCCCCACCCCCACCCCCCGGTGCTGTGTACACCGCCGAGACCTCAGCAGCGCTTGGCCTGTGACCCACTCCCTCCCGCGACAGCTTCCTGTTGCTTCTGTGACACTGTCTTACTGCTCCTCCACCTCCATGGCCATTGCCTGGGCCCCGTCACCTGTCCCTACCCGTCCCCTGCCCCACCAAGGGCCACCTCGCCGGGCCCACAGCTCCAAGGTCTGAGCTTCCTCCCCTCTGCCCAGTGCTATCACGTCACATGTCCAAAAGTGAACAGTTTCTCCTCCCTCATCCCCGCTCCTGATCGGCGGCATCCTCACCTCCAGCAACCCCGTGCTTTCCCTGTGCTCGGTGGCCCGGGCGTCAGCAGGACGGCTGGTCCCTGCGTTAGAGCACTTTCAATAAGGACAGATGGAGCCTCTCGTATAACCTTCACAGGCGCCCTACAAGAGAAGCGCGATAATGGCGCCCCCATCTACCCAGTTACCCAAACCAAAATCCCGGCGTCGCCCGCAGTCCCCTCCCTGGCGGCCTCGGAAACCTAGGGGGCAGGAGTGGGTGGGGCTTGAGGCTCGCGCGCAATGAGGGAGAGAAAGCTTCGGGGGCGGCCCGGGGCCCCGGCCCAGGATTGGGCAGTCCGGCCGGGAAGGGGCGGTCTTCCCGCCCGGAAGGGGCGTGGCTCTTCACAGGCGGCAAATTGCAAGGAGACGCTGCCGCCTTCATGCTGCCCGCGGACTGTTCGCGCCGGTGAGGCCTGCGCGGCGGGAGGGGGCGGAAGGACGCGGGCGGGCTGGCAGTCAGGCGCGGGGCCCGAGGCCCGACGCTGGCCGAGGTGATGAGCCGCCGGTGCGTCCCCCAGGCTGGTGGCCGAGCTGCAGGGCTCCCTGGACGCCTGCGCACAGCGACAGCTGCAACTGGAGCAGAGCCTGCGCGTCTGTCGTGGGCTGCTGCAGGCCTGGTACGCGGACCCCGGGACCCCCTGGCCAGACCTCCCTCGGCCCCTCAGAGTCCTGCCCCGAGGTCTCGTGGCTGGGAGACCGGGCGCAGCCGCCCACTTCGGAGCTATAGGTTGTCAGTGCCACCCCCCTTACCCTGCAAGCTCTGAGCTGGGGGCCTGCCGCGGGGCCCGGCGGCCCCCTTGTGTCTGTTTGGGCTGGGCCCTGCCTCCTGGCCGTGCGACGGCTGCCCATGTCTTTGTAGGGAACCAACCGGGACCTGGGCTTGGGAGCCACCTCCAGAGCCAGAAACTAATGAAGAGGACCCCCTTCCAGGTAAACCTCCACCACCCAATCCAGGTGCTGTTCTGGTCTGTCTTCTGGAGCGCAGTTGTGAGGGACCCTCCTGGGGGACAGTGGGGAGAGATCCCTGCGTAATTCTTGGCTTTCACAGCATGCACACCCAGTCCACAAGACCTCAAAGAGTTGGAGTTTCTGACCCAGGCGCTGGAGAAGGCTGTTCGGGTTCGAAGAGGCATCACTAAGGCTGGAGAAAGAAACAAGGCCCCCAGCCTGAAATCTAGGTCCATTGTCACCTCTCCTGGCACGACAGCCTCCACCCCACCCCAGTCTCCCGGCCAAGTTGGTGGCCATGCTTCAGACACGAGACCCACCAAGGGCCTCCGCCAGACCACAGTGCCTGCCAAGGGCCGCCCTGAGCATGCATCGCTGAACCCACAGGGACTCCCTGAGGCCTCCATGAACCCACAGTGCTGCCAAGAGGCCACCTGAGCGCGGCTGCCGTCCCAGTGCAGGATAGGACCCATGCTGGGATAGGGTGAGCCCAGATCTGGAGCGGGCCTCAGGAACCAGCATATGGCCTCATTGGCTGCTCCTCAGGCCCCAAGAAGCCTTCACACTCAAGGAGAAGAGTGAGTTTCCCCCAGACCCTCTGCCTGGAGGTACTTCTGTCTCTGCTCCTCAGACCCTGGCTGTGAGCCTGTGATTTGGGGTGACAGGAGAGACAGGGCATTGAGCCCTGGGGTGCACCCTGAAACCATTAACAAACCCTGGCAGATAGAGCAGCTGTGGTGGTGTCCAAGGTCAGCACCATCAGGACAGGGAAGTGCTAGACCTGTCCTGCCCTCTCCTCTGTGGCTGTCCATATTTGCCCAGGCCATTTCAGATGGCTCTGGACAGTGTAGGCTCTGTCTGCTCGGGGCCCCCTCTTCTCTCTGCTAGGACAGCACTGGACCATGCTTCTCTGTTGGCGCTCCTGAGCCTATCAAGGGAGCTCATCATGGTAAGTCAGGTGTGGGAAAGGGGGCAAGGCCTCATCCCTGATTGGGCTCTGGGCAGAGTAAATTTATGAGCCCCAGAGGCAAGGCGATGCCCTCTGAACACCCAGCCTCAACAGGCACCTGCGGCTGCCTGCGAACAGGAAAGGCGGCTTCAGACTCGGTGAGCTGAGGTCTTTGAGCTGGACCCAGGGGCAGGGGGGAGAACCTGCAGGCATCACCAGCTCCCAGATTTTGGAGTTCAGGGTACTTTCCAGTGGGTCTCTTGCCCTCTTTGCTGTAATTAGGATCACTGTCTGACGTTAAAAGTCTGCCAGCCTGTCAGCTCTGTCCCTTCATTGGTCAGTGTCCTCAGCCTGTCAGCTCTGTCCCCTTGTTCTGGTCAGTGTCCTCTTGGTTCCCTGAGGCCTCTGGAGACCCCTCCGGGCATTCAGCAGAGCCAGATGCCCAGCCTGGGGTCCCCACCCTGGCCCTTGCCTAACTCCCAAGGCCCAGCTCACCAGCTGGAATAACCGTGTCCCTCTATGGTTCCTGGGGCGCCCCATGTGTGCACCCCAGCCTGTGGGTCCAGCTGAGTTCCATGCAGACCAGTGATTCCATGGATGCCGCTGCCGCCAAAACCCAGTTTCTCCAGAACGTACAGACAACTGTATCCTTGCTGGGCTTGTGGGAGCCTGGGGGGCCTCTGGCTCTGAACCTGGCAGGTTTGTGGAGCAGCCCCAGGAGGGGCTGGTGTGGGATGGCCAGGGCCACTCTCCAGGCCCTGTCCTTGGTGGGAGCAGAGGGGCTTGGCTGCAGGGAAGTTTTCCTGACCCATATCCAGTCAGGCAGGTCCCAGCCCAGGCTCAGTGCTGCGGAAGTGGAGGCGGAGGCGAGGCGCCTGCAGAAGGCCTGTTCGCTGCTGAGACTGCGTGTGAGGGAGGAACTCTCGGCAGGTCAGTGGGTCCTGGGTCTGTCTCGGGAGGAGCATGGAGGGCTAGTGCAGGGAGGGTTTCCAGACTGCCACGGACCCCACCTGCCCTCCCTGACTCTTCTGCAGCCCCCATGGACTGGATGCAGGAGTACCGCTGCCTGCTCACGCTGGAGGGCCTGCAGGCCATGGTGGGCCAGTGTCTGCAGAGGCTGCAGGAACTGCGTGCAGGTGAGACTCCGCCCCCACCCTGCCACCTGCACTGAGGTCTGGGCCAGGGACAGGGTGCTTTAGCCAGCCTTGTCTGCACCTCAGAGAAAGGTGAGCAGCCCAGGGACCAGATGCAAGTTGGTGACCCCCCGCTTCCCCGCCGCCCGACGCCACTCCGCAGTGTGCTGGGTCCTCACCAGTTGTCCTATGGGAGCAGTCAGCCCTCCTTTCCTCCTCAGGGCAGCTCCCCTACCTCGCTGCTCCCCACACACACAACCTCACTGCTCTGAGCTGTTGCTATTCACCCAGTTGTTGAAAAAGTGGCGTGTGAGGGCCGGGCACTGTGGCTCACACCTGTAATCCCAGCACTTTGGGAGTCCAAGGCAGGCGGATCACAAGGTCAGGAGATCAAGACCATCCTGGCTAACACGGTGAAACCTTGTCTCTACTAAAAATACAAAAAATTAGCCAGGCGTGGTGGCGGGCGCCTGTAGTCCCAGCTACTTGGGAGACTGAGGCAGGAGAATGGTGTGAACCCGGGAGGAGGAGCTTGCAGTGAGCCGAGATTGCGCCACTGCACTCCAGCCTGGCTGACAGAGTGAGACCCCGTCTCAAAAACAAAAAGAAAAAGTAGTGTGTGAGGCCAGGCATGGTGGCTCACGCCTGTAACCCAGCACTTTGGGAGGCCAAGGCAGGCGGATCATTTGAGGTCAGGAGTTCAAGACCAGCCTGGCCAAAATGGTGAAAGCCCATCTCTACTAAAAATACAAAAATTAGCTGAGTATGATGGTGCACGCCTGTAATCCCAGCTACTTGGGAGACAAGCACAAGAATTGCTTGAACCCGGGAGGCAGAGGTTGCAGTGAGCTGAGATTGCGCCACTGCACTCCAGCCTGGGTGACAGAGTGAGACTCCATCTCAAAAAAAAAAAAAAAAAGAGAAAGTAGCTCATGAGAATCAGCTCCCGGAAGGTGGTTATTTATAGAACTTGTTTCCTCCTTTGTATTTTCTAATTGCTTGACGTTTTAAGAGTGAAAATACACCATTTGTCAAAAGGAAAGCCAGTCTCACAAAAGTTGTGCATAAACGCAGTAAAGAAATTAGGCAGGCAGAGGGCCACCCCACAGAGGACTCCCTGCCAGCAAGTCCAAGCTCAAGACATACCATCTTGCACGGGACTGTCCTAAAAGCCCACCTTTCCTCTAAAGGCAGGGCAAGTGGTGCAGATGCCTGGGAAAGCCAGGCAAACAGGAAAAGCGGGGCCACGGCTTCGGCTGCCACCCCAAAGGCCACATTCTCCTGTGCACACAGCGGTGGCGGAACAGCCACCATTACCGTGTCCTGTGGGGAGGCCCCCCAGAGCCTTGCCGTCCTGTAGGGGCGGAGCGGAGCCTACGTGGAGCCCCCAGCTGCTTGTCTACTCCAGTACCCAGGAGCTGCAGACCCTGGCGGCCCTCAAGCTGCGAGTGGCCATGCTGGACCAGCAGATCCACTTGGAAAAGGTGCTTCTGGAAGAGGAGATGGGGGTGCAACAGAGGTCTGCAGCCTTGAGGAGGACCTGAGGGTAGGGGCTTGACTGCTCCACCCCCCAGAACCCAGGAGAATGGTGGCAAGCCTGGGGTCTGTGTGTGTGGGTTGGGAAGTGCATGGGCCAGACTGAGCTAGGGATGGCAGGAGGGAGGGGCTGAAGCATGGCGGCCTCGAAGCCTGTCCCAGGATTGCCCCCAGCCTAGGTGCCGCTGAGACCTTGGCCCTGCCCTGCCCCCAGGTCCTGATGGCTGAACTCCTCCCCCTGGTAAGTGCTGCACAGCCGGAGGGCCCATCCTGGCTGACCCTGTGCCGGGCTGCGCACAGCCTGCTCTGCGAGGGAGGCGCACGTGTCCTCACCATCCTGCGAGATGAACCTGTGGACTGAGCCTTTCCCATGCTGCATCCACCAGGCCTCAGGACCACCTGGGCACTGGCCTGCCAGGGAGCATCCCCTCAGCCCTGTTCAGATGGGGTTTGGGGGTGTCTTCTCTGGCACTGTGCTTGGGGACCCAGAGATGCCTGTGCTTCCCTGGGAGACCTGGTGAACTGGACCAGGTGGCCTCAGTGGCTCTTCTCAGGACAACTAAGCCTGCTGGTCAGGGCTGACTTTCAGCCTTCCCAAGGCTCCTGGACTCCAGAGGCCAGCAGGGAGCCTTTCCTGGCTCCCTCTGTTTTCTCTCAGTGTAAACCAAAGAGCTGCTTGTGTGGTATTAAAGCCACTTTAGAAAGCATTTGTACTTATTTTTGTTGAGACAGTCTCACTCTGTCGCCCAGGCTAGAGTGCAGTGGCATGATCCTGGCTCACTGCAACCTCCGCTTCCCAGGTTCAGGTGATTTTCTTGCCTCAGCCTCCCAAGTAGCTGGAATTACAGGCTCCAGCCACCACGCCTGGCTTTTGTGTGTGTGTGTGTGTGTGTGTGTGTGTGTGTGTGTGTGTGTGTGTGTTTAGTAAAGATGGGGTTTCACCTTGTTGGCCAGGCTGGTCTCAAACTTTTGACCTCAGGTGATCCACCTCGCCCTCCCAACGTGCTGGGATTACAGGTGTAAGCCACTGCGCCTGGCTGAAAGCATATGTATTTAAATCATGCCAAGGTGGGACTTGGGCCCTTGTTTCTTTATGATTTTGTTTATCAAGTTACATCACTGGTTGATACATGTCATGCTGAAAAGGAATATATCAAGTGTATTTATCAAGATTATAAATGGGCTGGATGTGATGGCTCACGCCTGTAATCCCAGCACTTGGGGAGGCTGAAGTGGGAGGATTGCTTGAGGCCAGGAGTTTGAGACCAGTTTGAACAACAGTGAGACCCCATCTCTACACAAAATTTTAAAATGAGCCGGGCATGGCATGTCTGCCTGTAATCCCAACTACTTGGGAGGCTAAGGCAGGAGGATCGCTTGAGCCTAGGACTTTTTTTTTTTTTTTCTCTCTGTCACCCAGCCTGGAGTGCAGTGGCGCAATCTCAGCTCACTACAACCTCTGCCGTCTGGGTTCAAGCAATTATTCTGCCTCAGCCTCCCAAGTACCTGGGATTACAGGTGCGTGCCACGACGCCTGGCTAATGTTTGTAGTTTTTTAATAGAGACGGGGTTTCGCCATCTTGACCAGGCTGGTCTTGAACTCCTGACATCGTGATCCGCCCGCCTCGGCCTCCCAAATTGCTGGGATTACAGGCGTGAGCCACCACACCCGGCCGAGCCTAGGACTTTGAGCCTGCCGTGAGCCATGATTGTGCCACTGTGCTCCAGCCTGGGCGACAGAGCGAGACCCTGTCTCGATATCCCTTCTGTATAAAGGACGGGACAAGGCCACTCAAGGTGGGCCCAGCACTGCTAAAAGCCCCACCCTCTGTAGGCTGTAGGCTATACTCGTTCATTGGAGGACATGAAAACCACAAGGCCATATTGGAGAACAGGCCGGTCACTGTCTCTGCCACAGCCACCCAGCTCTGCTTCCCACTGTCTCCTGGTACCCACACCCAGCTCCCCCTCCTGGCACTGTCGCTGGGGCGGTTGTGGGGTCACCGGTTCACATGGCCTCCACCAGGAAGGGCCTTTTACCTCTTCACCCTTTAGCCACTCCACTCTCACCTCTGAGCCTCCTTCCCTTCGCCATGAAGGCAGGAAAGAGCAGGGGTCAGGGTTGGGCCCTCTGCAACCACAGAGGTGGGTTTGTAAAATGACTTGTTTTTGGCCCTGGGACTGGGCAGGATTCTCAAGGACTCAGCCCCAGTTGTCCAGGTTTGTCCCCACTGTCATGCTGGGTGATGGTGGTGATGACCTCAGGGGCCGGCAGAGATTACTTGTTGCATCTCAAGTGCTGGCCACAGGCCGGGCGCAGTGGCTCACACCTGCAATCCCAGCACTTTGGTAGGATGAGGCAGGTGGATCACCTGAGGTCAGGAGTTCATGACTAGCCTGGCTAACATGTTGAAACCCTGTCTCCATTCAAAATATAAAAACTAGAGGACAGGCGTGGTGGCTCATGCCTGTAATCCCAGCACTTTGGGAGGCCGAGGTGGATGGGTCACAAGGTCAGGAGATCGAGACCATCCTGGCTAACATGGTGAAACCCTGTCTCTACTAAAAATACAAACAATTGGCCGGGTGTGGTGGCATGTACCTGTGGTCCCAGCTACCTGGGAGGCTGAGGCAGGAGAATCGCTTGAACCCAGGAGACAGAGGTTACAGTGAGCCAAGATGGTGCCACTATACTCCAGCCTGGGTGACAGAGTGGGACTCCATCTCAAAACAAACAAAAAAATTAGCTGGGCATGGTGGCGGGTGCCTGCAGTCCCAGCTACTCAGGAGGCTGAGGCAGGAGAATCACTTGAACCTCGGAGGCAGAGGTTGCAGTGAACCAAGATTGTGCCACTATGCTCCAGCCTGGGTGACAGAGCGAGACTCTGTCTCAAAAAAAAAAAACAAAAAAACAAAAAAACAAAAAAAACCTGCTGGCCGCAAAGGCCCTGGTGCTGGCCATGTTCAGTGCTCATTGTGTTCTTTAAATGAACCTGCACTGAGGGCCCGAGGCATCCCAAACATTTTGGGAGCTGGGGCCAAGTGCTCTGTGTGGACAGCGCGGGAGCTCCACCAAGCCCAGCTGTGGGCAGGTACCTGTGACAGGGAAGATTACCAGCCTCTTCCCCAAGGTGCCCCCCTGGACAGGGCAGCAGGACAGAAGGTGGGTGGCACTTGGAGAAAGCTGGGTCTACTGAGAACCAGATGAAGCATCGCAGGTAGGTCCTGCTTGTAAAGGGCCTGACAGTCCCACAGGCCAGAAACATGCTCAGACCCAGAGTCCCGAGTTGAGGGCTGCTGGGGACCAGATGAGAGACCAAGGCAGGAAACCAAAAACCATGATCCTCATTGCATTGAGGGGGCACCTCCAGGGACAGAGCAGCTCCACCCCCTGCCCCTGCAGCCTGGCAGCAGCCCCAGGGTCACACCCCTTGTGCAGATCAGCCAGCCTCGCCCCTCCCAGCCACCCCATTGCTGCCTCCAGGTTTATGCCCAGGTGCCTCTATCTGCAGGAGCCGCTGACTTACTTGAAGCCCCAAGCGCACCCAGACTGTACACCCGTGTGGCTTTCCAGAGCAGGTGGTCTCTACCCAGCGTTATTTCACTGGCTGACTTGGCTCATCCCCCATGCCTACTGGATGTTTGCCTCAGGAGGACAGGGGTGCTGTCCCCCTCTACCCTGGTCAGGCCCTGATGGGAGCCAGACGTGCACTGACTCAATGATCCACCAATCCCGGGGCCAATCCAGAGAACAGTGGTTTCCTGGAGCAGGGAGGTGGCCTAGATAGCTTTGTGGGGGTCCTGGGGAGGCCCCGACACAGGGGTCCAGGGCAGGAAAGACAGGTCTCCTCCTCCGACTGACACCCGCCCACCCCGATTCCCCGCCAAAACCCAGAGGCAGCTGCTGACTCCCCGGGCTCCCAGCTGGCGTCACCACCTCTGGAGCCAATGGGCTCTGACGTGGCGATCCCGGAACGCCATTGGGACTGCGCGGGCGTCCACACCACCCACCGAGCGCCGCCACCGGGTTGGCGGCATGAGCGCGCCCGAGCCTCCGCCCGCGGCGCCCGCCTCGCCACCCGGGCCGGGTCTGGTGCACCCGGAGCCCCCCGGGGTCCTGCGCGCCCTGCTTTTGGCCACCGGCGGCGCGGGGGGCTCGTGGCCGCGCTGCATTCTGCCGTTCGGTGCCGTGGCCGTGCTGGCTGGTGCAGCCGCCACGGCCATCACCTTCTCGCTGCGGGGACCCCGCCTGGACCTGGCCCAGGGCTCGTCGCTGGCCGCGCTCAGTGCGGGCCTGGGGCTCCTGACCGCCGCCTTCCTGTGCTGGCGCGCTCGGCGGAGGCGAAGGGCCGGGCGCAGGGAGCCGGGGGCGCCCTGAGCCGCGGGCAAGGCCCCCTCCCATCGAGGTCACCGCGAGCCGGTCGCCCCTCCCTCCGACCTCTCCCCAGCTGGGCGGGCGCAGTGCCAAGCGCGGTCGCAGAGGCCGCCTCCCATACCCCATCCCCACATCGTTTCTTCTGGAACCCTTTGGGCAGAGGAGGCCACCGGCCGTTTCCCTCCCTCCCTCTCTGCTTTCTCTCTCCTCCCTCCTCCGTCCAACGTCGCATTTCAGCTTTTGACTTGGCGCGCAGAGCTGGCGCGACCGCAGAGCGGCCTGGCTGGGCAGCGGTCTGCGCGGCTCGGAGATCGACCTGGCGCGAGGGTGCTGGGTGCAGGGCACCGCGACGCGGGTTCGGCCACACCACTCGCCGCTGGGAGCCAGCGCTGTGTCCGCTCCTGGGCTGTCTGCCTTCGGGGCTCGGTTGGAAACCCCCCGAGGCATAATAGGCGCTCAATAAATGTGCAATAGGTGAATAAGTGGTGGCTTGCAGGCGTCTACGGGGAAACAGCAGGTTCTGGGCTGGGCGGGGAATTATTGGCTCAATGGGCATCTTACAGGAAAGACTCTCAGCTCCCTGCTGCCTGGGACTGTCCAGCCCCTCTATGCCCTCACCCCAGCCTGTGTCCCAAAGCTGGAGCTGCCGCTCTAGGGGCAGGGGTGGGGTGGGGTGGGGGAGGCCAAGCACTGCAGCCTGAGTTGCAGGTGGGGGGAGGGGAGGCGGAACTTCTTTGTTACAGAATGTGCCAGGAGGGGGCAGGACCAGTGGAGAGGTGGGAGGTGGGAGAGGCCCCAGCCAGAGGCTGGGACAGGTGGCTGGGTCCCTGGAGAGCAATAAGTCCCCCTTGGGGGCTGTGGGGAGGCCCTCCCTAACTTCCAAACACCATCTGTGAGGGCTGGGGGTGGGGGCAGAGTAGCGTGTGCAGAGGTCTGTTCCTGGGGAGAGGCTCTGTGGCCAGTGGCCTCCTGCCTGGGGAGCTGGAGATACAATGGCCCTCTGGGCCTACAGGGCCTCCCACGACCTCTGCTGACCCAGATGAACAATTGCACCAGGGCTGAGCCCCAGGCACCTACTTTCCCTCACCCCAGAAGCCACCAGACGTTCTGCAGACCCCAGTCCTGGCTCACAGGGAAGCTGAGCTGGAGACAAAGCTGGCCCCTCTGATGAGAGTGGAAGAGGATGCTGGCCACTGTCCCTCCTGCAGCCTGGCTGGCGGCCAGTCTGGCAGTGGCCCTGCTCTGGCAGTGGCCCTGATGTCCAGAGACAGCCTGGGTTTCCCCAGAGGCTTGTCTCTGGCCAGTGGGACCCCTCTGTCAGGCCTGGGCTTTTCTCTCTACTGTCCCAGAATGATGATCTCAGCCCCCATACTCCCCCAGGGTTCCTCCCACCCTTAGGGTGGGGTGGCGGGAGGTGGGGGTTGGGAGCCAGAAGGACCTTGAAGAGGGTGGTTGGGAGTTTCAGGTTCTAAGTTTGACCCACAGAGGACAGCGTGAGCCCTGTCAGATTCAGGTCCCTCACCTTGTCAAGGACACAATTCCTATTCTCTTTATCAGGGAGCTGAGGGGCAGGGGCCCTGTGGTAGAGAGAGAGCCCCCTAGCCCTCTCTGCTCAGTCCTCCCATGCCCCCATCCCTGTGCATCTGTGGCTGTCACACGCAGATGTGTGGCCAGGAGAAGGTGCCCACCAGCCAGTGTCAGTTGCTCCAGGAGCCAAGCCAGGTGCCCTGTCACTCTGTCTTCCCGTTCCTCCCCTCCATGGTCAGGCCCTCCTGGTCCCTCCTCTGGTCCTTCAGTTTCTCCTGGGAGGCTTCTGTGTCCTCCTGTCCCTCCTCTCCCAAACAGTGTGATGCTTTTGCCTCTCTATCCTCTTCCTCTTGGTCCTTGCTCATCTCTGGCTGTGTCCAGGGTAGCACCCACGAAGCCCCCTCCACCAGCTGCAGGCCTGGCCTCCCATCTGAAACGGGACATTCAGGCCTCGATGATGCCCCTGCGTGGAACTTGTTCCCTGCCCCGCCCTGGGAGGCTTGGCCTCCTCTGTCAAGGACCTAAAAGTAGGAGGGGAGGAGGTTTCTCTGAACAGAGCTGTCCCTGGACCCTCTTTGGTGGTGTCGCTCCCAGGCACAGCTGCCCCATCCCCAGCTAGTCCCCAGGCCACCCAGCTGGGCTTCTGCCTCAGTTTCTCTGCCCAAACGTGCTGCGACGTGGGGCAGTGGGCTCCAGGTTGCCACCAGCCCCTTCCCATGATTAAACCCTACTCCCTGCCCCTGCAGAGAGGTCCTCAACAGCTAACCAAGTCCCTGAACCCCAAGGAGCCACCCCATCCCACCCTCCAGCTTCCATGTCCTCCCTGCCAACTGGGCCCATGGCAAAGATGCAACTAGAAACTTGCAGACCCAGGGAGCTTTGGGATCAGAGTCTGGCCTGGTGCAGGGGATGCTGGCCTCATGTCTTTTTTTTTTTTAAATGAAAGGCCTCACATATTTATTACTGAACTCAGTCAACCAATGCATTCATAATAGATTCAGAGAGAAAAACACGTCGAACTCTCCAGATAGTGGTGACATTTTCAGTTTGATATGGTAATGTGATCGTGACCTTCAGACAGCACAAATATGTGTGCCATCTCATGTGCAATTCCTTACAGACCCAGCTTGGTTCTTCTCCAGTGTCTCCTTTTGGAGTTGTACCTGATTTTATTTCCAGTTTTCATCCGAATCCACTGGGGAATGGGACGATTTTGCTTTTGTTTCCTGGCCAGGAATCGCTTAATCCTGAAAGTCTTGTGAGAAGACATGGTGAGAAGCGGAGGCAAGAACACATCAGGATGGTGGAGAAAAGAAAAGAGAGGGTGGCCTCATGTCTTAGCCCAGCTTAGGCCCACGGGGGTGCCCCCCTTCCTCAACACAGACAGGAGACACTCCAGTCTGTGCAGCTCCAGACTTGGACCTGATACTACTTCGGGTTCATCAAATCCCACAGCTTCAGAGAGCCTCGTGAGTAAGAGGCGTGTGGCGGATGAGGAAAAAGGACCCCAAGCTATGCAGCCAGAAATGGAGCAGTTTGGATTCAAAATTAGACCTGACCCAATCCTGGGTTCTTTCTACTCCAGTAGATGCTGCTTTGGGGATGACCCTTCAACTGGTGGTTACTTGGCTTCCCTACCCAGGGAGCATCCAGGCCTTCTGCTGTCAGACCCGGGTCTTGCCTGCCTGATGGGCTTCAGGGAGGAGGTGGCCCAGACCCCCGTCCAGCACGTGGCACAGCCCCAGGAGCAGTAAAGGCCTGGCTGTGGGCCCAGGACCCTGCTGGGTGGTCCTCCACGGGCTGCGAAGGCTGAGCTGCCCCCCTCCAGACCCCTCCCGCCAGCGCATTCCTGGCTCCCCGGCCCCTCCCCTGGCTCCCGGGCCTCCCAGCCCCCTTCCCCGCTGGCCCAGCCCGCTTCTGAATCTGCTTCTGATTCCAGCTCTGCCTATGAGGCCCCCTCCCCTCCCCTCCCTCCTTCCCGACCCGAGCAGCCCCGCCCCCGGCTGGGCCCTGGCTTGCGCCTGCTGCGCCCCCCACCCCCTCCTGGCACAGCTCGTCCGCCCTCGCTGCAGCCGGGAGGAGGCGGCGGCCCGTGCACCGCAGGCCCCGCCCGCCCACGGTCCTTCCCGGGAGGCCGGGAGACCTGCTCCGCCCGGCCCTCGGTGGGTGAGTGCGAGCGGCGGGTGGGGCCTCCGCGGACTGAGGCACCGGGAGCCGGGGCGACGCCTGTCATCGCTCTAGGCCCAGCGGGAGGACGCGCCAACATCCCCGCTGCTGTGCTGAGCCCGGGGCGTGCCCGCCACTGCTCCCACCACTGGGCCGGGTTGAGGCCGCCCGGGGGCCCTGTTCCTCGGCATTGCGGGGCCTAGTGGGCAGAGCCGCGGAGGGGGCTTCTTTTCCCCGAGGGCAGCGTCTTGGGGCCCGGCCGCTGGCTGACCCGCAGCGGCTCCGGCCATGCCTGGCTGGCCCTGGGGGCTGCTGCTGACGGCAGGCACGCTCTTCGGCGCCCTGAGCCCTGGGCCGCCGGCGCCCGCCGACCCTTGCCACGATGAGGGGGGCGCGCCCCGGGGCTGCGTGCCGGGCCTGGTGAACGCCGCCCTGGGCCGTGAGGTGCTGGCGTCCAGCACGTGCGGGCGGCCGGCCACTCGGGCCTGCGACGCCTCTGACCCGCGACGGGCACACCCCCCCGCCCTCCTGACTTCCCCAGGGGGCACGGCCAGCCCTCTGTGCTGGCGCTCAGAGTGGCTGCCTCGGGCACCCCTCAACGTGACTCTCACGGTGCCCCTGGGCAAGGCTTTCGAGCTGGTCTTCGTGAGCCTGCGCTTCTGCTCAGCTCCCCCAGCCTCCATAGCCCTGCTCAAGTCACAGGACCATGGCCGCAGCTGGGTCCCGCTGGGCTTCTTCTCCTCCCACTGTGACCTGGACTATGGCCGTCTGCCTGCCCCTGCCGATGGCCCAGCTGGCCCAGGGCCTGAGGCCCTGTGCTTCCCTGCACCCCAGGCCCAGCCTGATGGCAGCGGCCTTCTGGCGTTCAGCGTGCAGGACAGCAGCCCCCCAGGCCTGGACCTGGACAGCAGCCCAGTGCTCCAAGACTGGGTGACCGCCACCGACATCCGTGTAGTGCTCACAAGGCCTAGCGCGGCGGGTGACGCCAGGGACATGGAGGCCGTCGTCCCTTACTCCTACGCAGCCACTGACCTCCAGGTGGGCGGGCGCTGCAAGTGCAATGGACACGCCTCACGGTGCCTGCTGGACACACAGGGCCACCTGATCTGCGACTGTCAGCATGGCACCGAGGGCCCTGACTGTGGCCGCTGCAAGCCCTTCTACTGCGACAGGCCATGGCAGCGGGCCACTGCCCGGGAATCCCACGCCTGCCTCGGTGAGGCCTTGGAGGGTGGCCTGGGGACCTTGGACCCAACCAGTCTGCCCCTGACCCATCTCTCCCTGCAGCTTGCTCCTGCAATGGCCATGCCCGCCGCTGCCGCTTCAACATGGAGCTGTACCGACTGTCCGGCCGCCGCAGCGGGGGTGTCTGTCTCAACTGCCGACACAACACCGCTGGCCGCCACTGCCACTACTGCCGGGAGGGCTTCTATCGAGACCCTGGCCGTGCCCTGAGTGACCGTCGGGCTTGTAGGGGTGAGCCCACCACCAGCCACCTGCGGGCCTTCATCCTCTGGCTTCCCAGATCCCCAGACAGGCTTCTGACCAGGCCCTTCCCACCTCTCCTCAGCCTGCGACTGTCACCCCGTTGGTGCTGCTGGCAAGACCTGTAACCAGACCACAGGCCAATGTCCCTGCAAGGATGGCGTCACTGGCCTCACCTGCAACCGCTGCGCACCTGGCTTCCAGCAGAGCCGCTCCCCAGTGGCACCCTGTGTTAGTGAGTGACCCTGCCCTGCCTCAGCCACCAAGCCAAGGCCACCCAAGCTCCCTGCTGTTGTCCCGTGTTTTCCCTGAGCCCTGCAGATCTCTCTGCCCCTCCATTGCAGGCCATTCTCCCTCCCTCTCTGCAGAGACCCCTATCCCTGGACCCACTGAGGACAGCAGCCCTGTGCAGCCCCAGGGTGAGTGGACACAGAACAGGGCCCCAGACGGGCATGACTTTGGGTGAAGGGGCTCTGGGAGGAGACGGTGGGGAAAGGGGGGGATGGGAGTCTGTCAGCCTCCCACCCTCTACCCAGACTGTGACTCGCACTGCAAACCTGCCCGTGGCAACTACCGCATCAGCCTAAAGAAGTTCTGCAGGAAGGACTATGGTAGGTGCCCTCAGGCCTCCCGCGGACCTTCCCTCCTCCGCCAGCTTCCTCTTGGAACGCCTTGACCCTTGCTGGGCCCCAAGGCCCATCCATCCTCATCCCTCAGGTACCCCACGGGGGGCGGCCCCGCTGCTTCAGCCCCCACTGTCCTCCGGGTGTCCTCTCCATGCCTCCCTCTACCCCGGGCAGGCCGCCCCCTCCTGACCGCACCCCCTCTCGCTCTCCCCGCAGCGGTGCAGGTGGCCGTGGGCGCGCGCGGTGAGGCGCGCGGCGCGTGGACGCGCTTCCCGGTGGCCGTGCTCGCGGTGTTCCGGAGCGGAGAGGAGCGCGCTCGGCGCGGGAGCAGCGCGCTGTGGGTGCCCGCCGGGGATGCGGCCTGCGGCTGCCCGCGCCTACTCCCTGGCCGCCGCTACCTCCTGCTGGGTGGCGGGCCTGGAGCCGCGGCTGGGGGCGCGGGGGGGCCGGGGGCCGGGGCTCAGCGCCGCCCGCGGAAGCCTTGTGCTTCCCTGGAGGGACGCGTGGACGCGGCGCCTGCGGAGGCTGCAGCGGCGTGAGCGGCGAGGGCGCTGCAGCGCCGCCTGAGCCCGCGGGCTGGGCGGGGCGGGCGTCGCTCCCACATCCAGGCGCACGTTCACCCGGTGCCTTCGCCTGCCAGGAGTCCTTGCTCGCGTCGCGCGTGTCGCCACCTAGGCCGCCGCCCCGTCCCCGCCGGCAGCTCCCTCTGTACCTCCCGTCTGGCCCCGGGGGGATGTGACCGGCGCAGCGACAGCCCGCCCCGCACAGAGGCGGGTGATATGGCACACCCAGAGGACCCTATGGTCTCCTGCCCCCTGGCTGCCGGCCCTGTCCCACGGGCACTGTGATACCCGGAAGGCTGTGAATTCCTCGTGATGCCGGGCCCTCTCGGGGATCTCAGATCATCCCCGGGGCCGCTGTGATGCACACCCCCACCCATGCAGCGACCCGCCAGGGAGCGCGCTGACCTCCCCAAAGACTGCGGCCACCGCAGGCGCCTTGGACCCCCATGGGGGGACAGGGCGTCCCCTGCCTTCTGCAGCCCCGCGAGGGCGGTGGCCTTGGCCCCTGCAGGCTGGGCGTCCACGTTCGGGTGCCCCGCGGCGTCTGCTGCCGGGTCCCGCATCTTTCTTGGCCGCCTGTGTCCCCGTCTGCGGGCTCTGTCCGGCCATCCCTCTCTCCGCCGCGTCTCTGACCTTCGGCGCCACGGCTCTTCAGCTCAGGGCCCGTCCCAGAACCCCCTTCCAGCCCTTCTCCCCCCGCTTGGGAAGGGACGTCGCGCCCACGCGGTTCCAGATCCACGCGTGACCCGGCCAGGTGGCGACTCCGACAGGCAGCTGTCCGGGCCCCCGATGCCCTCGGCAAGTCCCTGCCGACCCCCGTCCCCCTTGGCTCGTCCCCCCGGGACCGCACTGCAGTTGCCTCCCCTCCGCGCGGGACCGGTCCTCGGCCGGCCCCTGCTTCCGCCGCAGCAGCCGCCGACCGCCAGCGCGCATGCCCAGAGCCGGGCAGGCCGGAGGCCCGCGGGCGCTCGGGAGTGGGCACAGGGCGAGAGCTCGGCGGGGGCGGGGCCCAGCGCGCGCGTGCGCAGAAAGGCCGGCGCGGAGAGCTGAGGAGAAAGCGGCGCGCGGAGGTGGGTGCGCTCGGGGCGTGCGGGGGGGTGCGCTGCGGTGTGGCCCGGCCAGGTCCCCGCTGTCACTGCAGTCGACGCGTGCTGGGGGCGGGAACGTGGGGTCCCGGCTGCTGGCCCCATTCGAGGCGGGGATCCCCGGCCACGCGCTGGTTGGGGGCTCCGGAGCCCGGCACTGCCCGGCGCTGCAGCTGCGGCTTGGCCTACGGGCGGGGGCGCAGGAGCGGGACCCCCTGGGTGCGAGGCCCGATCCCCGCCCGGTCGCTGGCCCGCGACTCGGCCCGGGGCATAGTGTCGTCGGGAAGGGTGACTGTGTCACTCTTTCCTTGGGGCGTTTTCCGTCTCCGCAGGGTCGGAAATCCTCTTCGGGGCTCGGTGAGATTGCAACAGATTCTGATAAGCCCTGCCCTGTGGACCTGGAGCAGCCCCGGGCCCCGCCCCGCCCTGCCCAGGGATGACACACGCCCCCACCGCCCACCCGCTTGAGGGTCCGCTAGCCCCCGGCCCTGTCCAGTGGGAGCCCCGTTCGGTGCGCCTTGCCAGGCGGCCGCTGTCCTCCGGGCCCTGGGAGGTGGGAGCCAGGGACCCCCAGCTGTGAGCCAGCACAGCGGAGGGGAGAGTCGGCCCCACCTGGGCTGGGTTGCACCTGTTCCCACCCCGTCCAGGCGGGAGTCCCCGCGGGCTAGCCACAGGCTTTCTTTGATGGCCGTGCCCCTCAGGGAAATGCGCTGTGGACCCCTGGGTTACTGCTTGCGGGGGTGATATTAAAGGCCAAAGGTTGTCTAAAAGCCACCTGAGTGGTGTGGAGGTGCAGGTGGACTGTTAGGTTGGTGGCTGTGGTTGTGAAGCCGGTGTCACTGTCTTTCTCCAGCAGCTTTTTCCAGAAAGGGGGCGTCAGCCTGCCCTTCCAGGGCGATAGAAGCACTA